CTCTGGACTCGGCCTCCAAATGCTCCAAATCTATTCACAATCAGTATAATACCATCAATATATACTAATGGAATGAATTCTACAAGAAAAGCTTCAAAATTAGACCAAAACCTGAAATTGGCTCTAAAATCGTCTGTGGGGCCCATATCTCGGAATCCGACAAAAGTTATAAAATCCAAAAGCCCATTCAACCACGAGTCTACCCATACCAATTTTACCAAAATTCGACCTTAACTCGACCCTCAAATATACAAATCAAATTTCCAAATTTCTAAGTTTCAATCTCTGATTTACAGCTCAAAATCATGTAATCTAGTCGGATTACTCGATGATAATTCACTATTATGGAGTAGAAATGATCACAGGGGACTTACCTCAAGTTTTCCTTGAAAATATATCAAAAATCGCTTCTCCCCAAGCTCCAATTTGTCAAAAATGGCAAATGGGACGAAGCTCCCGTTTTTATAATTCCGCCCAGACATCCTCGGTTCTGCCTCGATATTGGCCTTCGATCGAGGTCCTCGATCCTAGTTCTCGGTCCTGGCCCTCGATTATGTCTTCTTCCCAGCCTTCGACCGTGACCCTCGACCCTAGGCTAGATCGTGCCTTCGATCGTGACCCTCGACCCTGGGCTCGATCGTGCCTTCGATCATGACCCTCGACCCTGGGCTCGATCGTGCCTTCAATCGTGACCCTNTGACCGACCGAGTCGTTAAACCTTCGCAACCAGCTGCTCACACCTCCGTACCGGAGCATCTGGGCTTCTCCTCTGAACATGTCCGAACCATCTAAGCCTCGCTTCCCACATCTTGTCATCAATGGGAGCCACATGCACCTTCTCCCGAATATCATCATTCCTAATCTTATCTATCCTAGTGTGCTCGCACATCCACCGCAACATCCTCATTTCTGTTACTTTCATCTTCTGGATATATGATTTCTTAACGGGCCAACACTCAGCCCCATACATCATGGCCGGTCTAACCACCGCTTTATAAAACTTACCTTTGAGTATCGGTGGCACCCTCCTATCACACCCTCTTTATAAAACTTACCTTTAAATGCTTAAAGCAAAACTTAATAAACATTATAAATTGTAGAACTAAAGCAAGAATTAAAGAAATTAAAAAGGAACTCACAAGAAAAAAAGAGTCGGCACCAATTAAAGAAAAAGAAAGAAAAGAAGAAACAAGGAAAAGAAGAAGGAATCTCCTGTAAGCTTTCCTAAATGCAGAACAGTTTTCAAAAGTGTAGCAGGCAGGACTCTATCCCAAGCACTTCTGCGGAAAATACAGTCCTTCACCAATGGCACTAAACATTCAGTTGTTAAATTGGGTGCCACTTTATCTATCTATATAATTTTCAATATATACACACATATATATACAAGGTTTTGACTGAGGTGTGCGGGTGGCGTGACACCCCACCATCCTTAGTAGATCCGCCCCAGAATATGGTGTTGGGCAACTGCTTTTTCCCGAGGGTAGTACATAATTCTTCTATTAGCCCAATTACAAATACTACTCCATTCATTACATAAACCCAATCAATTTTGGAAATCAAGTTATCGGCCATCTTCTATTGTAACTGTCAATTCATTGTTGGAGTTGATGTATGACTTACTAGAACACGAAGTTGTTGTGCTACAAGCATGTGTTCTTGTTGTAAAAGCAGGTTTACTAGGTTTTGCAAGAGAAATGCCTTGACGACTAAGCATTATAATTACATCTGGCATGCTTGGACGAGCACTAGCATCTTCTTGTACGCATAAGAGAGCAATATTAATGCATTTCCATGCATCTTCTTCGTTGCATGATTCAAGTAGAGATTTATCAAGCAAACTCATAACATTACCTTCATTCCATAATCTCCATGCCTGAAATGTAACTTTAGAGTTAGGAAAAAAGGTAACATAGTTACCAAACTGAAGATCTTAAAAAAGAGACGTAAAACAACAAAGAGGGCTTAAAATTTAGAAATTTTCACTCACGTAACCTAGGAGGTTTAAGGCTTCTTCTTGCTGATAAAATCCTGTATTTCTTTTGCCACAGATGATCTCAAGCATAACTACTCCAAAACTAAAAATATCTGATTTGACCGAGAATAATCCATGTAATGCATATTCTGGAGACATGTAACCGCTGCACAACTCCAAGTGATTAATGATATTACGCAAAATTTGAGAAGTGATGGACTAAGTGGGCGTTTGGACATAAGAATTGTAAAATTTCAAAATAGGGGAAATTTTTTTTCAAGTGAAAATGGTATTTGAAATTTGAGTTGTGTTTGGACATGAATATAATTTTGGGTTGTTTTTGAAGATTTGTGAGTGCTTTGAGTAAAAATTTTGAAAAACAACTTTTTGGAGTTTTTCAAATTTTCGAAAATTTTCAAAATGCATCTTCTAGTGAAAATTAGAAATTTTATGAGCAAACACTGATTTAAAAAAAAAAGTGAATATTTTTTGGAAAAAAAGAAATTTTTTTTTATGTCCAAATGGGGCAATGTATTGAAGTACAAATAGAAGAGTCTTTGCAGCACAAGTTGAGCTTACTATGTTCCAACAACTTTGTTTGTATTTGCTTCCATATCATTCCCTTGGACTATCCTTGCTAAGCCAAAATCTGAGATCTTGGGGTTCATCTCTTTATCCAATAATATGTTGCTTGTTTTTAAATCTCTATGAATGATCCTTAACCTTGAATCGTGATGCAAATAAACAAGCCCTCGAGCAATACCCAAGATGATATCAAATCTCTTATTCCAATCTAATAACGCATGATATCTTTCGTCTTGTGTAGTTATCATACAAAAGATTGTAGTATTCAATAACAAAAGAATAGTAGTTTAATTCACATTTAGAATAAGAAAATTAATCTCACGCGAAGAGTGCTTACCGAATATGAGGGCGTCTAAGCTTTTGTTTGGCATATATTCGTAGAGTAAGATCTTTTCATTCCCTTGGACGCAGTAACCAAAAAGTCTAACAAGATTTCGATGCTGAAGTCTTGCAATCAAAACTACTTCATTCTTGAATTCATTTATGCCTTGACCGGACTGAGCTGATAACCTTTTGATTGCTATTTCTCGTCCTCCCTGAAATTTTCCCTGAATATATTTTCAGTAAATTATATTATGTTAAGAAATATAACGCATAAATACAAGGTCTAACTGAAAAAATAAATGATACTTTGCAAGAACCTTATAAACAGGGCCAAAACCACCACGTCCTAGCTTATTTTCTTCTGAGAAGTTATCTGTTGCCGCTAGAATGCTTTCCAAACTAAAGAATTGAATATCGATACCCTTCTCATCCTCTTCATTTATTAAGTCATTTTCTCCCTTTTCAGTGTTTAAGCAGTTGTTTGGCTGTGAATTTCCTTGATAGAAAGAAAAAGATAGAATATATAATTGTGAAGCCCTAGCTATATGAATCTATAACTCATCAAGAAGAGAGAATTTGCATTTACCTTTACTTCTTGCTCTCCTTGTTCTATAGAGTAGGTAGATAAAGCTACATAGAAAAAGAGTAGCGACAATTGTAGTAGGAAAAACTACTTTTAGCCTTCTTGATTTATGTGTTTGGTATGCAACTGCAGTAGCAAAGATAGAATTAAATAAATAAATAACACAAAAATACTTGAATAAATAAATAAATAAATAGCATAAAAACACTAAATAGTACTCTCTGCTCTATTTCATCTCGTGTTTGAATAAAAGCAATTTTTTAGCCAAAATTATCATTTATCTTTAGGAGTAAGTCTAGTAGTATTGCCCTTCGTATATAACTATATATATATCCCTGAGCACCTTTCATCTTCTAAGTTTGCAAAATTTGAGCAAACATAGTCTTAATAACAAAAGTAACCTAACGGCTCCAACAAACTAACGGTAGTGAGGTGCACCTAAAATGAGTAAAAAGAACCCAACCTATTTCTTCTTCTCCAATTCTTTTCTTGCAGTTATTTCCCTCAAATTCAAGGAATCCTAACAAGAAATTTCCTGTATGTATTCAAGAAATGTGTTGCTGTGAACTTTTCCTTTAGCTTTATGTCTCAAACTTACCCGGTTCATATTTTCTCATCTTTGTGTTAATGGTGGTTACCTTCTACATAAACAAATTGTAGTAAAATTTGATTTTTGACAATGGCTGGCGCTTGATTTTTTGACAGCTATTAATCTTAATAAGGAATATGGTACTTGCGATTCGAAAGGGCGTGATCCATTAGCTTTGCCTTTCTTGATGAAGGGACTGAATATTGTTGAGATGATTATTATGCTTAAGCCTACTAAAATTAAATCAAAAACAAATCTCAGATTGTGAGAATAAAATAAAAAAGCAACCTACGCTAGATCCCCGCAAAAAGAACTACAGTTTGAAAAATTAGTCTTCAAAAAACTTTTCATATTTTCCCCCTTTTTCTTGAAAGTTAAAACATTTCATAGCGATTGTGTTTTAGTTGTGTCTTTTTCTTTCGCTTTTTTCTTTCTCAACGTTTTGCAGTTTGTACACAGAGAAAAAGATAGAATCTTCCCTTTTTTACTTTGTCTCTTCTTCTGCGTCTTTCAAGAATGAAGCCAGTTTAATTTTTCATATTTCCCACCAAAAGTGCAGCATCGTGATTTATAAAAAGAAAAGACAGTTTCAGGGAAAAATAACTGAATAAGGGGAAGAAGGTGAATCGAAGAAGAAGAAACATGATAGGTTTCTTTTAATCCATATCAAGCACAGCTCTATGAATGCACCATTTGTTTGAAGGTTTTTCTGTTAGCAAGACTAAATCTGCTCAAATTTTGCAAACTTGAAGGATAAAAGATGCTAGCATTATATTTGAAGGACAATATTAGACCACCCTAAAGATGAGGGACAATTTTGACTAAAAACTCGAATAGAAACATAATTTAAACAAGGCAAAACTTTTGACAAATGTCAATAGAATAACCTTAGAACTTGTGGTCTAAAATGTATAATTATATTATATGGCTATAACTTATAAGAGCATGTCATGGGTAAGAATTAAAATTAAAGAGTTCTAGAAAATAAAAAAGTTGTGTCATAGTAACATGCTAAAAGGAAATAGTATATATAGAATAAAAAAAAATTAATTCTCAAGGGGCTTATAGTATACTCCCTCCGTTTCAATTTATGTGAACCTATTTCCTTTTTCGTCCGTACCAAAAAGAATGACCTCTTTCCTTATTTGAAAATAATTTACCTTTATGCAATGATTTATAGCCATACAAAATATATGTGCCTCATTTTACACCACAAGTTCAAAAGTCTTCTCTCTTTTCTTAAACTCGGTGCCCAATCAAATGGGTGCACATAAATTGAAACTGAGGGAATATAATTTTTGAATACCTGTGGAAGTGCCTGAAAATTCAGAAGCAGCTAGTTTGACATAAATTGCCATTCCACTAGCATCATTTTCGGAGAGTTGTTGCAAGTTGAAAAGGTCTTCATCCCAAGTTAGACATTTGCTGCTATCAAAAGCATAAGCAGTACAAGAGCAATTATTGAGACAAGTGGATTCACATTCTGCTGCACTACCAATAGTCCGAATGTGATTATATACTGATAATCTCATATGAGAATGCATCTGGAACTTGTCCTCCTCCAAAGTAGTAGCACCAACATTAGCACAATTGAGACTTATTTTCCTCCCACAACCACTAGAGAAACTATTCAAATACCAGTCTTTGTATGATCTAGGAACGAAACCAGGCAAACAATCACACAAGGGAGTACTTGAGATTTTACTACAGACACCATATGCACCACAATAACCGTAAACATCACATGGATGTGTTGGCTGAACGAAAAACGGATTCCACTGCTTGGTACCATTCAACCACATCAGCTGCTTAAGTTCCCCCGTAACATCTATTATAAATCTTGACACGACTGAAGGACTAAAAAAATAATATGAAAAATAGACCTCATCCGTGTTGTTTATATACGTGAAATTGTGCGTGGGATTTGATTTTCTACTCCAAGGTCCAGTTGACCAATATTCTACAGTTTTATTCCATCTAACAACGCTCCTACCATTAGGCTCCATCTCAAGGGAAAAGAGCCCTGGACTAGGATCTTCAGAGTTGGTCCAAGAAGTAAGAGCTTGTTTTGTTTTTGTTCTTTTATTGTAGCCAAGTTTAGCCCCAGGTAAAAATGTGTGGCTCGGATGATCGAAACTTTGCCACAATAAATGAGACCCGCCATTCAAAATCAAGTTCCCATCATCACGAAGAATCGCCACCACAGGTTTTATTGTGCTGGAGTTAATATTTGTCGACCAAATTGAGCGTCCACTCCCATTGAGCAGCACCAAGTTACTCTTTATAATTTTGAATTGTGCGGATGCCATTTCGGATAAAGAAAGAGGAGTCTCCCTATTTGCTACCCAAACTACGGTTTGTGGGGTTATATCTTTGTACCATATACCAATGTAATATTTAGAAAGATTTCCTGGTTTGAAGAAGCCCATCTCAAATTTGCCATCTGAAGAAACGACTGTTACGCTTATAGTTATGGTTTTGTCTGCATTAAGGGTATCTCCAAAGGACAAGGCCTCATTTGTAGTTCCAAAACAGAAGCACAAGAAGAGTACAAATTGCAGGAAGAAGAGAAATTTTTTATTTTTGATTTCCATGGTTGGTTATTGCACTACGCTGAGAAGAAATGTATTTTAAAGAAAAAAAAAAACTAAAACTTGTTCCAAGGTTTGTCAAGTCAACAAAACAAAATTTCCACACTTGAGTGAGACATTTCACTCACAACCAACATTTTTTTTTTTGGTGAAATTTTTAATTTTATCTTTCTTATTTTTACATTAATATTACACTGAAGAACAGAAAATTCTAAATATACTTTATGTACATGTATAGTTCCTTGTTTTCTAAATAAAGTGCGATTAACATAGTTATATAAAATGAAAGAGAGGAAGAGAGTGTTTGTTTCTCTAACAAAGTTTTTGAATGGTTTTAAAGTTCAATATTATGGAGTGACATGAGTGGATGAATTAAATTTAAAATTCCACCATATTTCATTCTAAAAGTTTTAAAAATCTATCAAAGGTTTATCGAATAAAAATATATTTTCCTGTAATTGGTTTTTAAATAATACATAATCTGTATTCAAAGCTAGAGATATGAAATATATGATCCATTTGATCATTTCAAACTATAGGCTAAAGGACTTCTTTTAACTGCAGTAGTATTTGCCGGTTTTACAATAACTCTAAGAAAAAGTCGTTTGATAGAATGCATTAGAGAAAATAATGCATGCAATAATTTTTGGTATTACTAATCTCTTATTTGGTATATTTTTTTCAACCTATGTATTATTAATGCAAATATTAGTTATACAACCTATTTGGTATTATCCTAGGTATAACTAATACATAGCAAATTATGGTATTAGCAATACCAAGACTATTAATGCATGCATTAGCATGGTTAAAAGCAAAATTATCCTTTAAGTCTCTTAAAGCTAAAGAATATATAGAGGATATTTTTGTAAATAACTAGTTTTTTTGAAAATTATGCAATGCAATTTAATATTTAATACACCACACCAAACAGAGAATAAGAAATATTCTATACGTAATTAATGCTATGACTAATACATCTTATTCTAACACTATTCTTATACACCCTATCAAACGACTCCGAGGAAGGAAAGAAAAAAAGAAAGAAGCAAAATAGTAGAAGCTCCGAGTACATTGCGTTTTTTATGGTTTCAAGAAAGAAAGAAAGAAGCAAAGTAGGAGAAACTTATCGTACACTGTGTCGTTTTTGTGTCAACGTTTTTGGATTTATGTTTGTCTTCATAAATTACTTTTCTTTGGTTCACAATTTTCCTGGCACTCAAGTCAAGTCATGTCGTTGCTAAAGAATGGCCACAATTTGTAAAGTCTCCCACTTTAATTTGGAAAAAAGGAAAAAGATCCCCACTTTCATTACTTTTTTTCCTTCTCTGGCGGGCGATAGCTTTGGAACTTGAAAGCACTGAAATGGAGAGGGCTCTTTTTTGCTATTTCTCAAAAATGTTACATAAAAGTGATCTTTTAAAAATAATACACTCTAAATTTTTTAGATATACTAGTTTTATAGCACGCGTTGCACAAGTAACCAAACTAAAAATTGTATACAAGAAGTAAGTTATGTAAAATAGCAATTTACGTTAAAATATGCAACATTCAATAAGATGAAAAAAAATGTTAGTATTATATTGAAGTAGTTGCTGAAATCAAAATAATTAAATATCTTCTGAACTTGCAATAATGAACAATTTAGTTAAGTTATTTACGTTGTAGTTATAATTTCGGTATTTTATTTTATGAGATAACTAATCTATGTCGATATACATCTAAGCTTAATATTTTTTTATACACGATGTTCTTTGTGTATTTTTCTTTTAGTCGTTTCATTTATATTGTCATGACCAAACTTCTGTTATCAATATTGATATATCTCTTGAAAATTCAACATCTAATTATTCATGTGAGAAAACATGTTGCAACAAGTATATCCCAACCTTGGAAATAGTATGGCCATGACTTTTATTTATATTGTCATGGAAAAATACAAATGTGCAATAGAAAAAATATTTCTCGTGCAAATAGGGAAAAGGGAGAATAATGCCTCTCGAGTATGGAAAATAGAGAAACTTTTCTCTTATATTGAATTTAGTTCCAAACATGCCCTTATCATGATTAGTAAATTAAATTAGGTTTGCCACTATACTATGAAAAAGAATAAATTTGTCCTTTGTTTGAAATTAGTCTCAAATATGACCTTCTCATGAGTGAACTCGCTCATATTTTTTCCTTAAAACTAATGGAATTTTTTTTTATCAATCCTTTTATTTTCGGTTCAAACATTTATTTGATTACTATTTCTAAAACAATAAGAGGAATAACAAAAAGAAGAAAAAAAAGAACATGTAGTTTTTTTTATCTTCAAAAATACACACCAAAAGTAGAAATTCATAGAGTATTTTATTTTTGTAACGACCCGACCGGTCGTTTAGTATAATTGTGTCTTGTTTACCCTTTTGATGCCTCACACATGTGTGTTTATAGTTTTATGACTTACGAGATTGATTAGTTTCGTTCTAGGAGAATTTCGGGTTGATTTAGACCTTTTGATTCTTGGATTAGAAGCCTAAGTTAGAAATATTAATCAAACTTTGACTTTTCTGAAAATAACCCCAGAACGGTGTGTTTATGTAACGACTCGGCCGGTCGTTTCGAGAGTTATAACCCCGTTTCCTCCATTTCTGCTTCTTTTGTGTTCTTCAGTTATATTATGATATATCGGGTTAGTTGGTTCGGGTACGGAGTGGTTTTAGAGTGAATTGAGACACTTAGTCTCTTTATTAGAAGCTTAAGTTAGAAAAGTCAAACGGATGTTGACTTATGTATAAACGATATCGGATTTGAATTTTGATAGTTCTGTTAGCTCCGTTAGGCGAAAGTTGAAAATTTGGCGATTTTGGTCGGCAGTGAAAATTTTGATATCGGGATCGGAATGGATTTTCGGAAGTTGGAGTAGGTTCATGGTATCATTTTCACGTGTGTGTAAAATGTGAGGTCATTCGGACATGGTTTGATAGGTTTCGGTATCAGTTGCGGAATTTGGAAGTTTAGAAGTTCTTAGGCTTGAATCCGAGGGTATTTTGGTGTTTTGATGTCATTTTTGGTGATTCGAAGGTTCGACTACGTTCGTAGGGGGTCATATGACTTGTTGGTATGTTTGGTTGAGGTCCCGAGGGCCTCGGGGTGATTTCGGGTGGTCAACGGAAGAATTGGAGTTGATGAAATGCAGCTGAAGCTGTTGGTTCTGGTGTCATCCGCACCTGCGGAGTGGGAACCGCAGGTGCAAGGCCGCAGGAGCGAAGGAAGAGCCGCAGGTGCGGCTACGGGAGACCTGGGCTTAGACTGCAAGTCCGATGGAACTTCCGCATCTACGATGGTCGCAGAAGCTGTTTGGGAGGTGCAGATCGATCGCATGTACGGATTGGGTCCCGCATCTGTGATGATCGCAGATGCGGTCAAGTGATGCAGGAGAGGAGTTAGGCTTTTAATGAATTTCCACAGAAGCGGAGCCCGGTTCGCAGATGTGGTTCCACAGGTGCGGATCTAGGACCACAGGTACGATTTTAACTGGGCAGAAAACCCCAGCTCGAGGTTTTGTCTTCCATTTTAAATTTTGGACTTGGGGAGCTCGGGAGAGAGGCGATTTTTCGAAAGTTTTCAAGGAAGACGTTAGGGTAAGTGATTCTAAACTGTATTGTTCTAATTTCTGTGTAGCTATGGCTTTGTTATCATTTAATTAGGGATTGGAATTGAAATTTTGGGGATTTAGGGCTTGAGAATTTGAGAGTGAACTTTGGGGTTTTGGAGGAGCAATTGAGGTCGGATTTTGGTAAAATTTGTATGACTATACTCGTGAGTGAATTGGCTTTTGGGTTTTGTAATTTTTGTTAGATTCCGAGACGTGGGCCCGGGAGCCGGGTTTGAGCCGATTTCGGATTTTGGCTATAATTTGGTATTTTTCTTATGGAATTGATTCCTTTAGCCTATATTGATCGTATTGTATTACTTGTGGCTAGATTCGGGATGTTCGAAGACCGAATTGAGAGGCAAGGGCATTCCGTAGTAGGACTTTGCTTCGTTTGAGGTAAGTAACATTTTCAAACTTGGTTCTGAGTGTTCGAGACCCCAAATTATATACTATGTGATTGGTATTGAGGTGACGCACATGCCAAGTGACGGGCGTGCGAGCGTGCACCGTGAGAATTGTGACCTGGGTGATTCCATGGCACCCTCTAGTGACTCTATCCTATAGATATCCATGTTTTCATCATGTGATAAAGTAGTTGAGCTGTAGATCATGCTAGATATCATATTTAGGCTTTATGCCGGGATTGGTTGGACCCTTAGCGGTCGTTTCTTGCTGTCATCTCACTAGTTTCATTTACCATTTCATACTCAGTCATGATTATGCATTTTTATATCATATCTCGGTCTCAGTTATTTGTTGAATCATTATATCATTGTTCCGGGTTGTTTTCATGACATTGTGAGACCGTGGTGAAACTAGAGAGGTTGATGATTGAATGAGGCCGAGTGCCTGGTTATGAGTGTCAGTTATGGGATCGGGCTGCACGCCGCAGTGGTTATATTGATGATTATGATAGCGCTTGTGTTACACCCCATGTTTTCGTACGTGAAAGTACGCCGTAAGTAAATTGATGCAAGCTCGGGAATGAGATTATTTTGAGGTTACAAGTATTATGTTATTTCAAACAAGGGACAAGTAAATTCGTGAAGGCAAGAGGGTAAGCGAATCAGAGCAAATGAATTTCGTCGAAATTTGATATTTTGAGGTAAAATACGGCCCGAGCTAAAATACCCGGTATTTATGGACTAATGCCATACAAGGTACCACATGACCATGATAGTAAGGTGTATAAAGTATATTAAAAATAAGTAGAATTTTAAGTAATTTAAGATAATTCTTAATTATGCGGGTAATTGGTTAATTACCGAGTAGCGGCATATTACCTAATTAATTAATTGATTATAGGATAAGATTAAAATTTCTCCACCCCACCCTCACGTGGTAGCAAGGCCTTGT